CCAAGCACCAAGAATACAGAGCATCCCTTGCACCAGACCAAGAGTTCCTATAAGCACATAAGAGAAGCCAACGTTGGATCGGGCCAGTGGCCCATTCAGTCCAACACTCTGTGTCACACAGTGGCCACAAATGCCAGGTGCCATCAGGAGGTCCAGCAGTGGGGCCAGGACACTAGAAGCCCTCCCACTGTTGCCCCCCTCCCCAAGAACTGAGAATACAGAGCATCCCTGGCCCCAGACCGAGAGTTCCTATAAGCACATAAGAGAAGCCAATGCTGGATCGGGCCAGTGGCCCATCCAGTCCAACACTCTGTGTCACACAGGGGCCAAAAATACCAGGTGCCATCAGGAGGTCCACCACTGGGGCCAGGGCACTAGAAGCCCTCCCACTGTTGCCCCCCTCCCCAAGAACCGAGAATACAGAGCATCCCTTGCTCCAGACTGAGGGTTCCTATAAGAACATAAGAGAAGCCAGTGTTGGATCAGGCCAGTGGCCCATCCAGTCCAACACTCTGTGTCACACAGGGGCCAAAAATACCAGGTGCCATCAGGAGGTCCAGCAGTGGGGCCAGGACACTAGAAGACCTCCCACTGTTGCCCTCCCCAAGCACCAAGAATACAGAGCATCCCTTGCCCCAGCCCGAGAGTCCCTATCCATCCCTTGTGGCTAATAGCCAGCCACTGATGGACTTCTGCTCCATATGCTTATCCAACTCCCACTTGAAGCCGTCCATGCTTGTAGCCGCCACCACCTCCTGTGGCAGTGAATCCCATGTGTACCTCTACCTCCAGAAACTGATCCGGAAGACCCTGGTCTAGAGGATACTGGCGTTCTTCTAGAGCAGGGCTGGCCAAACTTGCATAACCTAACAGTCACACAGAATAAATGTCAGGTGTTTGAGAGCTGCAAGACATGAACCAATCGCACATACGTGTTTTTATTGAAAAATATGCAAGTTTGCTTTTTATAAACATTAAACTGGACTGTGTGAAAGAGCCCCGTGTGGCTCCCGAACTTCAGCTTGGCCACCCCTGTTCTAGAGTCTAGACCCAGCTTGGCTTTGATACCTCTGACTGGAGGAGGGTGGCAAAGCCTGTGTGTCTTTTTTGGGGGGGGGGATTTGCTGCTCATACTGGTCAGGCAGGCCAGTGGCTGATTGCTAGACATTCGCCGTGTGCTTCTGTACCTTCAGCCGGGCATTTAATTTCTTGCCAGCCTGCTTTTGTGGTTCGGTTTCTCTTCAACAACCTTCCTTTTGCTGAGCCAGCAAGGAGTCCCCAGCTTAGCTGAATGCGGTCCTCCAGCCATCTGCCCCCCCCCAAAGGCTCAGCTGATGGGAGGGGCTCCTTCCCTACTCCAGAGGGAGAATCATATTCTTGCTGGATGGCAGGATCTCAGCTGCAGGGTGTTTTTTTTTTAACACCCTGATGTGAATTCTACACTTCCCGCCTGGTTTAGCAGAGCCTGCAAAACAGAGGTGACTCCTAACCATGTCAGTTTTTGCTTGGCAGGCTAGAAAATCGTAGGGATGTGGAATGCCCTCGTTTACAAAGGGGTGACTGTGAACCTTGAGGGTGGCAGGGGTGAGATAGTCCTTAGCATGACGTATTGAAGTCCTTAAGGAGATACTGCATCCTGTTGAAATCTTCAGGTGCAACCCACCTTTCCATTTCAAGCTGGATACACCCACCTGGAATCCAAGAGGGGAAAGGCGGGGGGGGCTGCCATTGGACTAATTCTGCTCCGGCACTGTGAAAATGAATGCCCACCTTGTCTTTCTGGCATGGGCTCAGCCGACATGAGACCCCTGAGGGTCTGGCTACATTTCCACAAGCCACCGGGATGCCAGATGATTAGAGAGTGCCCAAATCATATGTACAGTGTTGAGCAGTTATTGAGGAAGGATTTTTTTTTAATGACCTGCCCTCTTCAGAGTGTCAGCCAGGGTGATTAATGCCGTGGCTCAGCTGCTGCTTGGCATGCAGAAGGGTCCCAGGTTCAATCCCCGTCATCTCCAGTTAAAAGGATCAAGTAGAAGATGGTGTGAAAGACCTCTGCCTGAGATCCTGGAGAACAGCTCCTAGTCTTAAGTAGAAAATACTGACCGTGATGGACCAAGGGTCTGATTCAGTATAAGAAAGTAGATGGGTCACAGTAAAAACCAACTAAGGCTAGCAAATACCTTGACAATATGTGCAGGATATAAAAGAACATATATTTAAATAACTTTCAAACCTTTTCCTATTTGAAGTTACTTATAATAATTTAAGCAGACAGTTGTCTTAAAGAACAATGACAAAGAAAGGGTTGTTTTTTTTAAAATCAATGCTAAGTGCAAACAAAACATGCAACCAGTGTTCCCTCTAAGATGAGTTAGTGTGAGCCAACTCACCGTTTTTTAGCCTCCAGCTCACACATTTTTGTCTTCGCTCAGGAAGGATGGCTCCAGACCAAACCAATTTATGCAGTAGCCGAATCGCTCGCTCACAAGTTTAATGCCAGTGGCTCACAAAGTAGAATTTTTGCCCACAAGACTCCACAGCTTAGATGGAACAGTGCATGCAACTCAGGTACAGTTATGCACATAAGCGTCTGACCGTCTAAGTGTACAATAGTACAAATTTCTCAATGAAAAAACTCCAAAGACGTGCTTAAACATATAAAAATGACACCACTAATATTGAACTCCAAATTACTTTGACGAAGTATAAGGCACCTTCATGTGTGTAGAATACTGGAGACCAAATGTATAGTTAAAGCGATTGCCTAACTGCCTTAGCCCACGGCCCAAAGAGACTGAGAATGTGCAAAATGCATCTCTCCCCCCTCCCCTGGAATAACCCCAGCCAGCCCATAACTCCACTCATCGGGGGCTTCAGCGGCAGCTTACTTGGGTTGTTCCAAGGAGTGGCATTCCTCCTTCAGATGTGCTGAAGACCCATCTTAAATAGCCTCAAAAAAAATTGCTCAGGCCAGGCTTTAGCAAGCCTCTGGGGAAGAAGAAGTCCACACCTGAGGAGGAGAAAAAGAGTTGGTTTTATACTCCATCCTTCGATACCCAAAGGAGTCTCGAAGTGGCTTACAGTCGCCTTCCTCTCCCCGCTACAGACACCCTGTGAGGTAGGTGGGGCCGAGAGAGCTCTGAGAGAATGTGTGACTGACCCAAGGCCACCCAGCTGGCTTCAAGCGGAGGAGGAGCCGGGAATCAAACCTGGCTCTCCAGATTAGAGTCAGGCTCTCTTAACCACTACACCACAATCAGTTCATTCTCCTCAGCATGTGCATGATGTCCCCCATGTCTGTCTAGTGTGTATTTATTGAAGTCCATGTGGTGGTTCTTCCCCATGCTTATCCTCACAGCTTCTCTGTGAGCTGGGTTAGGTGGACTGGCCTAGGTGACCCAGCAAACTTTTAAGTAGCCTGGGAATTTGGACCCGGCCCTCTGAGCCCCTGGTCCCAGTGTTTAAATTGCTGCTTTTCAGTTGCCTGATGAGCACAGAAAAGTGACTCCAAGGTATTTTGCTTGTTGGGCTTTCTTTCCTTTCAGAAGTCCCATTGCAACCAAGCAGACCAGCCTCTGATTTCTCAAGCCACTTGCAAGGTGTCCCCCCACCCCCCCCCGAGCCATTTCCCAAATCAAAATTCCTCCCCAGCATTTGGAGGTGACGGCATGGTGGGGAAGAATTATCCTTGCGTGCGCAGTGCTGTGGGCCGGATCCCTGTAGCTTGGCCCCATAAGCATATCTGTGGCCTAGAGAGCGGAACGGAGTCACTCATGCGATGACCAAGTTATTCCAGGAGGTCAGAGGTCAGACACCAGAGCAGGGAAGGCTGTGACTTTCCCGCTAGAAGATCAGATCTGGTGATGTCATGTGGGAGGGGCATGGGGCGGGGTGGGTGGAGCTCTCTCTTTTTGTGTGTGTTCAGCAGCACATTAGGAGATGGTATTTGTCGAAAGGCTAAAGGGAAGGTGGGAACCTCCCGAGGCAGGTGAAAGCAAACTTCCTAGAGGGAAGTTGTCACAAGGATCCAGAGGAACCTGTTTGGAAAGTGGTTTTCAGTCCAGTGAAAGAGCAACGCGGTGGGTGGGTGGTGCCAGGATGCCGCGGCGACAGTGGGGCACGGCAGTTCACGCTCTCAAGAGAGGGAGGCAGCAAAGTCTGAGCTCTTGGCAAGCCAGGCAAGAGCAGTCTTGAACCCCACTCTCAGCCTGGGACTCTCTGGCCTTCCGGAGTCCCAAAGGCCTGCAGTTCAGCCTGTCCCAGCACCACGGGCACCCGGTGGATCCTCTTTGAGGGACTGGCTGTTCATCTCGGAGAAGCGGTGGGGTAGGCCTCCTTCTCCTTCCGGCATCAAGTGCCTGGATGCCCTCTCATTTCTTTCTGAAAGAACTGGAGACAGGGACTCCAGGACAGCTGTCTTTTACGGGGAATCCTAAGCAGCCTTAACGTGAAAGCAAGTTCCATCAGGGCTTGAGTCTGGAGAATCATGGAATAGATTCACACCGAGTTGGAAAGGGGCCCTAGAGGCCACCTAGTCCAACCCGCTGCTCAATGCAGGATCAAGTTAAAGCATCCCTGCTTCAAGACGGCCAGGGAGGGGGAGCTCACCACCTCCCCAGGCAGCTGATCCCACTGTGGCACAACTCTGACTGTCAAAAAGTTTTCCCTAATATCCAGCTGGTACCTTCCCGCCCTGAATTTAAACCCATGATTGTGAGTCCTCTCCTCTGCTGCCCACAGGAACAGCTCCCTGCCCTCCTCTAAGGGACAGACCTTTAACATTTGTACTTCAAGAGAGCCATCCTGTCCCCCCTCAGCCTCCTCTTCTCCATACTGAACATGCCCAAGAAGTCCCTCAGCCTTTCCTCGCAGGACTTCTTGGTCTCCAGGCCTCCAATTGTCCTCGTCGCTCTCCTCTGCAGCCGCCCCATTCTGTCCACATCCTTTTAGAAGTGAGGCCTCCAGAACTGCACACAGGACTCCAGGTGCAGCCTGACCAAGGCAGTGTACAGCGATATCTTGCTTGCCTTGACCTGGCTGGCCCAGGCTAGCCCGATCCCATCGGCTCTCGGAAGCGAAGCAGGGTCAGCCCCGACCGGTATTTGGATGGGTGACCACCAAGGCAGTCCAGGGTCACTACACAGAGGCAGGCCAGGGCAAAACACCGCCGTGCATCTCTCGCCTTGAGAACTCCCAGGGCTGCCAGGAGTCAGCTGCAACTTGACGGCACTTCCCACCCCACGCGGAAAAGCTTGTCTAGAGTCACAGCCGTTGATTCTAGAGGGTGGTAAGGGGCAGTGAAAGACAATGTCTAGGGAGCTCAAGACACATGAGGGGCAGTGAAAGACAATGTCTAGGGAGCTCAAGACACATGAAGCATGAGTCCCACAACAACCTTGCGAGGGAGGGTAGGCTGTGAGAAAGAGTGGTTGGCCTAGGAGAGACCATTTGGGGGTTCCGAAAATCAAGGTCTCCCACCCTCTTTGTTTACTACCCTCCTTTCCCTGTTTTGTACATTAGGGTTTGGAAAAAAACACACACACCAGGGCCTACACAGAACGGATGCAAAGGAATGTGGCAGTCACGTCCGACAGAGTGAATTGACAAGAGTGGCACTGGTGTTGCCAAGACTATTATGGGTGTGGACATCAATCTTTGCACAGAAACACTTCCTAGTAATACTTTTAGGGGGTCAATGAAAACCTAGCAGTTCTAGAACTGGCTCCTGCGGTCTTCTAATAAAGAAAAAAAAGAGAATGTTGGAGAGTTATTTAGCACCTAATTTTTTTTTGTTCGTTTTCTTAAATTTTTATCCCCAGGTTAAGGAACTCGTGCTTGACAACTGTAGGTCAAATGAAGGCAAAATCGAAGGTCTCACAGATGAGTTTGAAGAGCTGGAATTCTTAAGTACAATCAACGTCGGCCTCACCTCGGTTGCAAACCTACCAAAGTTAAACAAACTCAAGAAGGTAGGTGGATGCTCTGGTCCTTGCTGTTTTCTACATATAAGGGGACCTTGTGCCAAGTATTCCGGTTTTCCTTGTGACCGGGGACTCAAACTTTGGCCAAACCTTTTTCCCTCTCAGCTCGAGTTAAGCGACAACAGAATGTCAGGAGGGCTGGAAGTACTGGCAGAAAAATGTCCGAACCTCACGCATCTAAATCTAAGCGGCAACAAAATCAAGGATCTCAGTACAATAGAACCGCTGGTAAGTGTATGCAAAATTGGCCCGGGAAAAATGAATGCCGGGACCACTGTGGGTTGGGGGCATAACAGAGCCAGTTTGGTGTCGTGGTTAACTCTAATCTGGGAGAACTGGGTTTGGTTCCCCACTCCTCCACTTGCACCTGCTGGATGACCTTGGGCAAGCCATAGTTCTGTCAGAGCTGTTCTTGAGAAAAAGCAGTTTCTGTCAGAGTTCCTCAGCCCCGCCTACCTCACAGGGTGTCTGTTGTAGGGAGGGGGAAGGGAAAGGAGTTTGTAAGCTGCTCTGTACTCCTCCTCCTCCTCCTCCTCCTCCTCCTCC